AAAATGAAATGGTAATAAAAACCAATTTCTCGAAAAATAAATATATTCATTTGTTAACATGTTTGGTCTTCATTTTTTAAAATTTATTTTTCTTCAAACATATTTTCAATCATATATTTATGGAATTCACACTTTTGCTCTTGAATTAACCCAATCAATAAATTATTATTTAAACGGTTCGTAAACATTTTGATTAATATTATTTTTTGGTCATCCAAATGGTTACTATATACCTTTTACGTACATATATAAAAATAATATTTTTATTTAAATTTACTTATGTGTTCAAAAATAAATTTTCTAAAGATACATGATTAATATCGTGAGAAAATAGTGAAAGAGATAGTGTGGAAAAATAGAAAAGTATAGTTGTAGCGTGTAAAAATGGAGAAAGAGTAAGCCTCCATTATTTTATATATTTTATTTTAAGAATATTAAAAAAATTAAGTTGATTAAATGAGATTAAACTATTGTACTGAGAGCCAATGAAGGAAAAAGAAAATAAAAAAAATGCACGTTGAAACCTCCGTAATTACAGAGGCTCATGCTTGAGCTATCTCCATCAAACCTCGGTATTATGGAGGCTTTCCTCCATAATATATATGTACACAGACATACTAATTTTTTTTTTTTTTTAATGTTGTTGGCATGATGTGTGTGTTAAAAAAAATATTTGTTAATCACTATAAACAAAATTTTTCACAAAATGTAAAAAATAAAAATGCATAATAAATCTTCTTATTACGCTAATAAAATTAGAATAATTTTTTTTACAAATAACATAAAAAAATCATTTTTATTTTCAACGAAAAAAACACATTTAAAAATTAGCAATTTCATAACCAATTTTTATTTTATTTTATTTTGGGAAATACAATTATAAAAAAGAGAAACAATATTGAATTACAACATTTATTACTTAAGAAATTCAATATTAAATAAATTTTATAGATTTATAACAAATTATAAATCCATATATGCAGCTTACCATATTTGCAGGTAAGTTACCATATATGCAAATAACTTATTGTATTTGCACCTTACCGTGTATGCTGCTTACCGTATTTGCAACTTGCTGTATTTTTATATATAGATTTTTACACTTACAAATACCGAGAATACAGAATACCATACATTCACTTACTAAATCGAATTTCAAAAAAAAATTCAAATTTTTATTTTTTCAACATAAGCATAAAATAAATATTAAATATATATGAAGCACAAAATATAAATACATATGAATATGGGGCTGAGAGAAATCAGTATCGTAGTTTTACGTTACAATTAATTTTTCTTTCAATTTAAAATTCTTTCTCTTCAAATTTTTTACTTATGAGTAACTTTTTGTAAAATAATTTATGTCTTATACTATATTTTTTAATTTTTTGCGAGGTATAGAAATTGTGTTACAATGTTTTCTTATAGTATAAATATTTTTTAATTAAAATTGAAAAAAATTAAGTCTTTTCATAAAGAAAACAGAATTAAAAAGTATTTTAAATCGAAAAAAATATTTATAATATGAATAAAACAAATAAAAAATAAATAAATGCAAAAAAAAAACGAAAAAGAAATCTCCATGCATCTTGTGCTAATCTTATGAACCAAATGATTAGACTTCACCAAATTCTTCGAATCTTCAATCAATTTTGAAAAATCTACAATTTGGATGCTAATAAAAATACAATAAATATAAAATTCGTGCAACGCACATGTCAAAGACTAGTTTGAACAAAAAAGTTAATATCTCTATGATAAATTTATTTTGATATTTCGTCTCATTTAGGACAAAGAGAGGGAAGATGGAGAATAAACTTTCATGATTGCCAAATTTAGTTTTTTGAATTAATGTTATACCACAATTTTGAAGGATTGTACCAGTTCACTCTTTTCTAGGGTTTTAATGAAATATGGTAGCTTTGGTTTTGTCGATCCTTTTCAATGGTATTGGTATTAAAAAAATGTTTTCATATCATCTAAAGAAACAATCTTAAATATGTTGCACAATGTGAACTAATGAGAAAATGGGAACTACTATTATTTGGTATTTGCTTATTTTAATGTAAGTTTGACTTGTAATTTTAGAGTAAGATGTAACCATCGGTTTCTGTGGTTCACTTTTATCGTAATAACAGAACATTTTGCTTACATGTTGAATGTATAGTTTTATCCTTAAGGCACAAATTGATGGTCCCATCGTTCTAAGAACCAGTTATTTATGATGTTCGTATACTACCTCAGTAGTGGAGAGCAAGTCAAGCAGTTGTGACCTTAAGATGGTAAGCCCCTCTCTCTAGCTATCCTCCATTCTCTCTTCCCTTCGACTTTCAATACTTTGCTTCTGGGGTCTTGGGGATCACCTTCTATGCGGTACAAGTTGTGAATGATCACTTTCTTGGTTTATGTTTTGTTCTCAGTGGCATGACTTTAGTTTCGAAAGAGAGTTTAGAATTTTTATTGAGGCTCCTATTCTAACTTCACTTCTATAGAAAATGAACTTCATGTTCATTTCAATAAATAATAACACTATTTTGCAACTGATCCTTATTATTACACTTCGCCACATGTGGCTCCACGTGGTCAGCCCATCAAGGCTTATTGGTCGATTATTGGACTAGAATCGGAGAACCACTTCCATCGAAGGCTAAGTCCAAGGATCATTCGTATTTGCTCTATCAAAGTAAAGATACTATGGTGAAGAAGGTCATCAAAATCAAAATCGAAGCCTAACTATAGCAAGTAACGAGCTACACGTTAAGATCCTAAATTTATTTATGAAATCCTTGAAGAATGATTGATAGGGCTTTTTATAATAAGTAAAATGTCAAGTCTTGCCAGTTTAGGCAATAGGGTGACTACTTTTTTTAAGAGCATTAAATGCGCCACAGACTAGAAAGTTCAAATTGACGCCTAGGATTGTATGCTTCGACTAAGGAGATGAGGCCACGTGTATCTTCATCCAATCCCACGTGTATCTTCATCCAATCCTAACTCTCTAGCTGATTATACACTTGCTTTGATAAAGTTAGGTTGTTTGTGATTAGTAATTATTACACAATCGTTCCCTATATAAATTACTAGAGCCCAAACATATTCATCTCGTGTTATAGAGCTTCTCTTATGCCCAACGGTTCTTCTTACAAACGCATTAGATTAATGCATGTCTCCCACGCATAAGCCTTAATGCATCGTGTTTCGAATGTAGCACAATAGCCATTATTGCGCATTTAATGTAATGACAGTATGTGTATTGAAAGTCATAATGCTTCGAATGTCTTTTCTTCATAATATGCAAAAATATCAAATCATTGGCACCACCATCGATGTCAAGATCTTCAAAACAAAAGAGTCTATACAGTTTAGCATCATCCTACCTTGGCCTAAAATAAATTTCAGCTATCTTCAAAATAAAGGAGCCTCAACAGCTCGGTATCATCCTATCTCGACCTAAAATAAATTTAAGCTATCTTCAAAATAAAGGAGTCTCAACGGTTCGGCATCATCCTGTCTCGGCCCAAAATAAATTTAAACCCAATCATGATATAAATATCCATAGTTGGACTTAGGGGACTTGTTATTATTGTTGTTAACTTAATATTGAACTCCATGCATGATATAAATAACTATACATGGACTTGGGGCTATCGTTACGACTCGTCACATGTGACTCCACGTTGTCGGGCTACCGAGGCCCATTGGTCGATTATTAGACTAGAATCAAAAAACCACCTTCATCAAAGGCTAAGTCCGTGGCTTATTGGCATTTCCGTTGCTGAAGTAAAGATACTGAGGTGAAGAAGGTCAACAAAGTCAAAATCGAAGCACAACCACAACAGGTAATGACTTACACGTGATGATCCTGAATTTATAAATCCTTTCGAAATGATTGATAAGACCTTTATAATGAGTAAAATGTCAAGTCTTGTCAATTTAGGCAATAGGGTGGCTGCTCTTTGTAAGAGCAATAAATGAGCTACAGGCTAAGAAGTTCAAATTGATGCCTAGGATTGTATGTTTCGGCTAAGGAGATGAGGCCACGTGTATCTTCATCGAATGGTCACCATTGCATTTGTAATACTATAAATACCCCCTCCAAAGAATCATTTGAAGAATAATGCAACTTGATACACTTAAAACTACTATTTACCTTCTCTTTCTTGCTGAATATACACTTGCTTTGATAGAGTTAGGATTGCTTTACTTTCTTTGAGTTGTTTGCGATTGGTAATTATTGCACATTCATTCCCAGTATACATTGTCGAAGCCTGAATATATTCGTCTCGTGTTATAGAGCTTTCCCACATCCAAATTCGGAGTATTATTGACTAAAAACATGTCCATACATTCACATGTATACGAGTGGGACAGGTATCTGTTGTCTGCATCACCCCAACAGAAAACGAGGTCAACACTTAGCATTATTTTTGTCATTTTGAACCTACAAAAATTTCCCTCATTCAATTGACTAAACATAATACAGGATCTTCTGAATTAGAATTTTTTAAGTTGAAAAACCACTCATGTTCATTCATGCCTTTGGAGTGGGGCGTGTTTGAAGGCAAAAACAAAATCTGCTATTGAATAGAATATTGTTGTCTAAGGATTTATAATTTTATACTACACCTTTGTTATTTCCTTATCTTTTTTTGCAGGAGTGGGAAAAGGGATATCATTAAGTCGATCATTGGATATTAATGCCATAATGAACACTAAACTGTCTATAAGTGAGTAAAAAACCTGGCAAAATTCTAAAGCACGCTCAAGAGTCTATACATCTTAAATAAAGCAAGTTGGTTATGTGGAAGAGCATATCTGATTTTAGTCTTGTATTCAACTAACTATATCATTAGATTACAAGCAGTGATGGCCCTGAGAATACGGAGGCCGTAGGCGACAAATTATGTTGAGGCCCTATACTTTGTTTGTAGTATGGCAAGAATGCACCAAAACTTACCCATTTTTTATGCTTTTTTCACTAGAGGACAAGGAGATGAAAATAAAGAAAGAGAGTCAAACCTTCCACAAAGGGTCGAATTTCAATATTTCATACATTGTAGACTAAATGAAATTGAATATGTATATAAATTTCTAGAAGCTATAAAAGGGACTGATTGTGGAAATCATAAATTCATTTTAGATGCAATCCTAATTCATAGTCTTTCTCACTCTACCCAGTCTATGAAAAATATTGCAGTTTCCCCGATGTACTAGAATTACCTCTTTCGGTGGTTGACAAGGCTAAGTCCTCGTGATAGCAGTAATTTGATAATGCTGAGCTAAATTCATCTCAAAATTCAGGAATTTGCTCATTCCCATATGGGAACCTTCATTTATAAGGCAAGTTTTTAACAAAATAGGCAATCAAAATTCTTACGTAACGAATATGAATTATGGTTGTTAAACAAGGCTTAATCAAAGAAATAATGAAAAAGTATTCATAAATGACATATTTTTATATTTTTAAACACGATCAAACGTATGCCTTATGTTTCATTGATTTCAACTCCGAATTATAAGCCTTCAAGTGTTGTAGTAATTTTACTTCCTGTTTATTTCACACCAAAAAGAGTCCCATCAATTTTACAAACAAGTGGTAAAAAAACAAGATTCTATATAAAAAAATACATCTAAATATGGAAAATTATAGTGATTCAAACACTACAAATTGCAATAGTTTAATTATGCCTTACTGGTATGTATGACGTTAAATTTTTGCTATGTAGTTAAACTCTTTTTTCTACAATCATGAATGTGGATATTTAGGGTTAGAAGGTTAATTATGTGAGATGATCTTGCAATGTGGTTTCAGAAGTCAATAGGTAATGGCCAATGGACATTTGAAGTTTTTAGGGTGAGGAAAGAAGTAATTGATAGTATTACCTCGTTAAGTTGGTTATACCTTAAGCAAATGTAAATTTTAAATCAAGATATATTATATCTCTAATCTAAATATAGTCAAAACATTGAGATTGAGCATGATCTCAGTGCTTCTCAATTTGAATTTGTTAGCACTGTTTGTACATTTGAATCAATTCCCAGTCTCGCTCACCCCCACCTTCCAGCCAGCAGGCCCGCCACCAAACAAAAAGCAACCCAAAAGTTTTCTCCACATTCCCCCCAAATTTGGAAATGATAAATAAACAATCATAATATTCATGAAATTAAAAGCGCATAAACTAAAAGCAAAAAACAAGAAATCCACCTACAAGAAAAGATGAAGCCCTGAAAACCTGATTTGATTGGAAAACTTTTGGGACTTTTCGAATTGCTAGAGATGCCGTCTGCCGATATGGATTGGAGAGGAGAGGATATTGAAGAATTATGAATTGGAGAAAGTAAATTGGAGAGGAGATTGCCTTGGAGTCTGGACTCCGAATAATTCTGGAAGAGTGGAAGCCAACCCTCTTTCTATTTTGGACCTAGTATTCTAAATTTTGAGGCCCTGGGCTCAAGCCAAAATTTTGAGGCCCTAGGCCTTTGCCTAGGTGGCTTGGCCTCAGGGCCGGCCCTGATTACAAGGAAAAATATCCTATTGACTAGTACGTAATAAAATATAGCTGCTAAAGAAGGTGGTTGGTTCTTCTACACAATTCCATAATGTTGGTGATGGTGGTTGCCTTCATCTTCTAGAGAATTCTTCCATGAAAAAGGTTCAACAAATTGGTAGTAAAATATGGGATGGAAGAACCCACAAAAAGTTGGTGTTGTATCTTCAGAGCTATTGCCAACAATCCAGCATTAATTACTCTCTGGAGAATTGAAGCATCTCAAGAAATTGCACACACCATCGCAAATTCAAACACAAGTGTACTTGAATTCCGATGATCTGTTGCTGAACCTTCAGGATCTGAACTGGGAGCGAGGTGGAAATAAGTAACGGAAAATTGGCTGAATTATTTTTTACCCGTCCGAATTTAGATTTTCTTATCAAGCCAGTGAAAAAGTGATATCGCCTCATGCTGGCTGTGATCTATGAATGGAACCCTCTCTTTTTTCATACTCCGAAAATAGTGAATTTGTTTTGCTTAGGAAACTACTTTCATTGAAAGAGCAAATCTTTCTTTAAGGTTTTACAACTTTTGTATTGAGAGTCACCTCAAACATCATGGTCTGAGGAGTGCAATGATGTTTTTGCTTCTGAAGTAAATGCTTTTTTGCTCATTGGTTGTGCTTTAATTTTTGGTTATCATCTTGTTCGATGTCAAAGTGGCTTCATTTTAGTGCATCTTTTGATTACAATTGAGCGTGGTTCTTTGGAGTGCATTTGAATTTGTTTCTTGCATTCTAACATGAATACCAGTTGGAATCTGTTGGTGTTAGTATTGTATAAAATTTATGGATGATCCCGAACTTTACATCATTTGCTCACAACCACCCTGAACTTTAAAATGGACTTTGTCAGTCTTTAAACTTACAATCTGATTGGAAAGAATTTATGAACAGTTTAATCAATAAATAGATATAACAACTTATCGTACAAGATTAGTCTGAATCTAATATTGCACAGTTGATCACAGTTATCTTGTCAGACGAATTGAACAAATATTGAAGAACAAGAATTTTGATTCACCAAGCACTATAACATTCATCCTTTTGTGGATTAAAAAAAAAAATTAAAAAAAAAATTCTCAGAAGTCTTGTCCACACAGAAAATTATAGTGATCTGAGAATCCACGAAAAGATAAAGACAAAATAAACAAAACGAATGCTACTGACCCTCAAAACAGGTCATTTGCATACCACCATTCTGAGTGAATGTGCTGGAGGCTAATTTTGGAGTCATTTATCAAACTAAACAGGTTGAAATGAAAGAATATCCCTTCCATATCAGCTAATAATACAACAGTGGTACTAAATCGTATCTAACCATGAATCAAAATCATCCAAGAGTTTCGATTTGGAAACAGAATCTGAGGAAGAGGGTGCAGCTTTTACATCATGGGGTAGCGTTTTATCATTTATGTTTATCAGAGCAGATGTTTCCTCCAGCAGGTCGTCAATAGTGTTGTCAAAGGCAGGCATCTTAGCATGTTTCTTCGCATCGTGTCCTTCGTTCAAACTTTCAGCGGAGCCCAACTGACAAGTATCTTCTTGCTGTACATAAGATAACGTGTTTGACCTCTTCGTCATATTCAAGGAACCAAAAAACTCGGTTTCACTACATGAGTCAAGAAGCATATCGAGTTCTGCTTCTGCGTCAATGGCTTCAAATCTAGCTGATTTCTTAGCAGCCAAGTCCACATTGACATTTGAAATGGACTCGGGTAAAGATCTCTGGTCAACGTGGTTCACATCAATAGCAGCCGGACTAGGAAGATCTGCGGTGATGGTGGCAGCAGAAGATATATGATCTCGTTCCCTGAATATATTTTCTTCAGGCTCTTGACCGAGAGACGACACATCATTAGCTGTCTCGGCTGCAAGAGTCACGTGTGAAATTTGTCTGACATCATGTTTGTCTTTGCTGTATCCTTGTAACTCATCGAGCTATCAGGCATAATTCAGAAAAGAAAAATGAATACAATGACAATCGATTAGTAGCATTAATGAAGACTACCATTATCCAAATTCACATTAAAAAATCAAGTCTTAGTAAATTCCTATTTGAATCGAATGTATCAAAATGGGATATGTTAGCAAAAACCATAGATGCTTGTCCTCAGAAATTTTAATTCTAAACAATTTGGCGATCAACATTTTTAATTTTAGGTGGTCACTGTTTCAGTTCCCAGTCGATCTACTAATTTCTAGATCTACTTGCTTTTTAGTTGTCGTGGGGGGAGGGGACGGATGGTGGTGCTTTCGAAAGGTTGAGAACTGAAATGCCTCAAAAAAAAAGAATGAGTTTATTTGAATGGTGCTAAGACTTCAATGAACAGTCATCCCGAGTTAAGAAAATTGCTAATTTGGGTTTCTTTAAATGCTTATAAAATTTATTGGGCAATTTAGATAACAAAATTTACTGTAAGAAATTTCAGTATTTTTCCCTAGATTTTACCCGACTATGATCACTAAGATAGTAAAATCATCCATCAGAAGTATAAAATTCATCTAACAATGTCAACGTAATTAAGTACAGGGAAATAGCGACAACAGATAAGTGTACAAAGCAAAATCAAAATTCCACCGGATTAACACAATATTATAGACTCCACAAGTGAGACGAGTCAGAAAAATGCAGCAGCAACAAGATGATTTGGAGAAAACTAAGAATTTTATAGCTCTATATAAATAAAATACCCAAATTTATATTCATGCAAACTTTCTGAATCAAAATCTGAACAATCGACCAAGTAAAATGATAGACCTGCAGTCCAGATCACCTACCAAAGGCACAACGAGGGGACAGGGGCAGAAAGGGGAATGCGGGAAGAAAGAAGGCCACACGCACAGTTACAGTCCGTTGAGAGAATGATATAGAAGCAGAGCAACCTATAAATTAGGGGAATCGATTCTAGTAAGGCAGGCAGAATTTGGTATTCACTGGGAGAGTGGTGGACCTCTCGAACATCCATAATTATCCTTGTTATTTCTTTCTTTTCACTGTTATTTTTTTTGCATTCCAGATTTGTTATTCTTATAGCAGATCTACTTTCTGCGAAATCAAAGTTCGTCAATGAAATATTATACTCGTTTCAGCCATCAATTACTTTAATGTGTGTTGGGTGAAGTGACATTTTCTCAGGATTCTATCATAAAACTAGAAAAATAAATCATATAGCAAGAAGGTCAAAACAGTGATGTAAAACAAAGTGATATCTTGCGAATAAGGACCAAGAGTGTCATCACTTCAAGAATTCGAGAATGAGAACACCTTGAGTGTCCCTGATGCAATTAGTTATTAATGAAAGTACATGCTATAAAAATGTACATTATGACTTCAAGAGTAATGTCAAAATAGACATACAAAAGTTGAAATGTCACAAGAATAGCAATTTTTAGATCACAACCTACCAAAGCACGCTATCTTTGGCTTGCTGGTATATCAGTAGTATTAATAAATTGTGGACATACAAGGCTCAATCCCCTGCAAACTGCTAATTTGTACAAGAAAGCAGTTTTCCTATAGTGTAGGTAATCTTTAGCCGCAAATGTGGCATAATCCTATAGGCTGTATTAGTAGGATAGACTAGTTTTCCTATTTGTCAACCATCTCATTAAGATGTTAGAAAGTGACTGCCTTCAATATACCCCCTCATGTGTAAACTGAATTCATTTTTTTGTAATGTTATTCATTATAGTCTAGAAGTGGGGTCATTGTCCAGTGTCTAAAAAGGCATTCGCACTTCAGTGGACAATGTGGCTTGACCTCAATGCCACATAGATCGATGATCATCTAAATTCTAGATGAATAGCATTATTCTTCATTTTTTGATCAAAGGTCTAACACAATTTTTTTATACACAGGTGGAGATGAGACTTGAATCCATGCTTTTTTGCATGACACCATGTTAACCATCTCATAAAAAGTTTAAACTTTTATGGAAAGGTCGCACATGTTCATTTAAATCTTGTCTTCACTAGTATTAAACCCAATGATTTGCAAATTTGACCAAGAAAATCATGACATAAACCTGAAATGCCTCCAGGTGCTCTAATTTGCACTTCAGATCTGGAACCTAGCCTATATGTGTAAAATAGATTACTCACACATAAATCATTGGCCTTGCAAAATAATCTAAAAATCAAGGGCAAATTTTTTTATTTTTTCATATTTTTTTAAGAAAAAATCTCATTCAGAGTTAGAAAGTCAATAGAGTCATAAAAATTAGTCATCAGTTAATAAACACTGTAGCCATGTGTGGTGCACAAGCTTCAAGGTACAACTGATGCCTTCCAGCTACCAAAGGAGGTGAACATTTGTGCATAAGCGTTTTGTCTTTGTAAGTTCTATGATTCTATCAAAGAATCAACAATGACAAGCCCCACTTGATGCGCAAAAGAACATCAAGATAAAAAGCCTATATTGACCTTATGAAGAGATGTGAGGCATAAAGAAATTTCAAGAGGATCTACAAGGGCCAAAAAAGAATAAAGGAAATTTTAAGTACCAGCTCTGGAGGCAGTAAATCTGGTTCAGCGAAAAGCCTTTCTGAAACCTTTGCTTTTGCAAATTGTTCAGCAAGAGCATGCAGATTTAGTGATAGGAACGGCGCCTGCAAAATTACAAATGAAACATTTATCGGAAGGGGGGCAAAAAAAATAAAACCCAATACTTTCTTCTCTTACTTCTTTCTATTCTAGGAGCAATAAATACATCAAGAAGAAGAAAGGGACACGAGGGGGGGGGGGGGGGGGGAGAAAATAAAAAA